ATTAACCCATCTGTGGAACAAATTGCTATCAGGTCAATGACTTGGAACGCAACGCACATGGGATGAATGGTCTGCGGTCTCCGGGTTTTTGTGGGCAATTGGTCATTCTGACTGATATCCTGATGTCGTTCAGAGGTCGTTCAGAGGTCGTTTGGGAGCCGAGAAAAATGGCTAAATAATGACCCTTGAATACACGTGCATTGGTGGCACAGCACGGGGAAGAGTCTGGGCTCGTAAAGACATGGTTCTAGAGGGAAACCGCTCAGGCTAGGGTCTCGTTGCAGAGATTACAAAGACCGTGCCAGATGCAATTTGCCAGCCCCAAAAAATGCATTTAGGGTGGTTCCGGGTGTAATTTGGCTGCTGATTTGTTCTAAATGCATCTAGACCTGTATATAAATATATGTAAATATATACTTATATAACTTATATACGTATAATTAGAAGGTCGTTCCAATGTCGTTCTAGATGTCGTTCAAAGGGTCGTTCCCCAACTAAATGGCACATTCCAAAATTACCAAAAACATCCGAAATAGCTGCGGCGGTGCCTGGAATTCTGAACGAAGGATCGCACAATACTACTGTCAATTAACCCCCCTTTTTTTGGCTCATTTGGGCATTGTACAAATTCCAACATTAGACGATCTATATGGAGGTTTCCATGTGGGTACCCCAAACACGCTGGATGGTTTCATGGAAAATCCTGCAAAAATGGATGATGACTGATTTACCGAACTTAAAGATGGTGATTTTCCATTTCGCTATGTTAAATTGAGGGTAGCTATGGTGATCCTGGAGGTAGAAGTTGGTAAATCCTAGTTGGTAAATCCTAGTTGGTAAATCCTAGTTGGTTTTTAATGGGTAAATCCACTACAACTGGCCATTTTCAATAGCTTTTTGTATGTTTACCAAGGGGTACCCCTTTTTTAGGAACCCCCAAAAAAAGCTTCAATATGGAAATGTTCACGGATTTTTCAGCCCGTCATGTTGAGCTGGTTCAACTAGCCATCCCAAGCGGTGGAACATCGTTATCCAAATATGGGTGGAAAACATCACCGTTTTACTACTGATATCCAATGACTTCTGGGTATTGTGATGGTGGACTATAGATTCACTTGTAATAAACATTGCCAATCTTAGATACCTGGCAAAAAAATAAATTCTTTGCTGGTTAGTAGATATTCCCATTTACCAAAAGACTACAGGATTAAAGTATCCATGTAAGATTGACCTAGTAAACCACAAATCAGAAAAAAACTGCACACTTCTGGGACGAATCCCCTTCATAAGTGACCAAAAAAATGGATCATAATCATAAGCATGGTTACTAGTCTCCAATTCTCCATGGATAAAAACCAATTACCCACATTTACAACTCACACTAAAGAAATTGTTTGGGGAATACCATCTAGGGGAGCATTTTCGCCAATGGTTAAGCACTTACAAGATGGTGTCCCCTGCATCCCGATGCCTTCCTGTCATGCTTGTTGGTTCATAAATCCCAGCAAACTCTATTAGAGTAATATACCCTCTGGTTATGACTGACAGTTCGCCATGGAAGCCATGGCCCATAGAAATAGATGGTTTACCGAACTTAAAAATTGTGATTTCCCAGTTAGCTATGTTAAATAACCAGATGGTATATATATATATATTTGTATATATATATATATAGTATAGATATACCATGATAATAAATGATATATCTACCAACAGAAACAAAACAACCTACTGAAGTAAACCAACTATGACATCAACTATAATTTCCCATCAAGTTGTTGGTGAAATTGACGCAATCAGTCGAGATATTCCCAGTCATAGCTCATCCATGAAAATACCCATCCCATCTTGTTATACGTATTTGTTGACAGGTTTCCCAACTATGGATTATCTGGTTGGTGGTTTCAATCCCTCTGAAAAATATTAGTCAGTTGGGATGATTATTCCCAATATATGGAAAAAATGTTCCAAACCACCAACAAGGTTAGAATATTTCCCAATAACCCAGGTAATATTAATTTCCTGTAATAACCCATCAACTACGGTATGTTTACCATTTTTCAATGCCTCAACTATCATATCCAACTGATGGGGATGGGTCAAAACCTATTATTGCCATATGAATGGTGGAATAAACATGCCAAAGTCTCAGGCATTTGGGGGTACCATCCGGGCCCTAGGGTTTTGACTTATAGCAATCTATCCTAGAATGTCTGCACTATCATATAATATATATAATATACACAATATATCACAATTTATATCTATATTCAATCAAAATGGATTATAGCCCATTTAGTAAATGGATGTAAATGGATTATATTGCCAGTCATATATACGGAATATTCCCACCTATATAGGGATTATATGGATGAAACAAAATGATTACAAACCACGGATCCGATTCGTGGGGCCCACACATCCAACGTAGGCTCCTAGGGTTTCGACTTAGATCAGCTATAAATCATTACAAATCCCATGAAGTCCCCATTTTCCTTGGTTCAATCACCTATTTCCTATTCTGGTTGGTGGTATACCTAGCGACCTAGCCCTCTGAAAAATGATGGAGTGAGTTCGTCAGTGATGGTTTTCCATTCCCAACTGTTTCTGGAAAGTCATTCAAACTTCCATGGTTCCAGTCACCACCAACCAGTATCCCATTGTTATTCCAATTATTAACCATAGATTAACCATAGATTAACCATAGATTAACCAGGAAAATTCATGTTCCAAACCACCAGCCGCAGATTTCCCAGCGGCATCCGTCGGACGCTCCAAGAAACCGAGGTGTAACAGCGGACAGGTCGCCAAGGTCCACGACTAGGGGCCTAGGATCCATGGCATCTGGGGATTTTTCGGGAGGTCGGGGGAAGAAACTCACCAAACATGGTGAATTCACCTGGAGAAAATGGTGATTGAAGCAGCCAAAATAGCGATTTTTCACCGGAAAACATGGTGATTTCACAAGAAACACCGTTGACTCGCCAAGAGCTTGGGATTTCATCATTAACATTTGATCAACATGAGGGTTTTGACATATTAAGATTGATCCGGATATCTTCCCTGTCGCTTGGAAGAAACGAGTAATAACGAGTAGCATCCAATACACAACTAGAGGTCCTCCAATTATGAGTTGGTTATAGTTGGTTTATAAACCCAGTATCAGTAACTCATTATATCCCCCTAATCAACCCAAACTTTCAAAATAGGTCAGCCTTGCCATCCCCAAAAGGGCGGGGTCCCACGGGCCCCATTCAGCTTCCCACCAATGCCTCCCAAGCGGACAGGCGCCTGGAAAGATACCCCATGACCCCTGGTGTCTAGACACCCTGATAAAACCATCCTCCATGACTGTGGGGTTTGCAAACATGTTGATGGTTGTGTCCCAGTATCGAAGGTTAAGATACAGCTTTTGTATGCTTTTCTGATGTGAACCAGCATGTTTGCAGGTTAAGCCCCATCACACAATAGATTGATGCAGTCCAACATGATTTGCTGAGAGTTTACGCTTCGAGTATGTGTAAAACATAGCGATGTTCCAGGTGCCAGAGGGTCTATAACTATTTGGGAACCTCATAGATTCTTCCAGCAAACTTCATGTCCCATCAGCGGCCTCAACTGAGAAACCTGGGCGATTTTTCGTGTGGCTTTCACAAACGAACATTGTTTCACCAACAGAATTTGGGATTTTCAGGGTCTGAGATTCTGATTCGTGAGGTACAGATGCATGAGGTCATCGATTTTTCATTGGATAAACCCGATATTGAGACGGGGCGGCTTTTACGGATGGTTTTAAGGCACATTGACCTTGCTGTAAATTTGACATTGCATTTCTCTGGGTAATTTTCTGAAACCATGAGCTTGATGCTTGAGTGATCAGTAAGAGATTAAGCTCTTGAAAGGGGAACCTACTATGCGACCCTACGGGGTGTGGGGGTTTGCCTACGCAGCCATGATTCCTCTGTCCTCTGTGTTTCCTTATAAGTGACATTCTGATTTCCATGAATGGATGGGTGTCTATGCAAAGCCTACTCAGGGGTTATGTACCCATAGTTATGGGGGCCCAGGGGCCCAACATCCCAACTTACACGGGTTTATTACAACTTCATAACCCCAACTAACTCCAAATAATAACCCATCAATAACCCCAAAATAATAATAGGGGATCGAGTAACCGAGTAGTTTCGACCATCAAAGATTCGTTTCTTGCAGCCACGCCAGTTCAGAGCCATCTGAAGCAGCGTGTAGGAGTGCTTCGTTTGGCGGAACGGGTTTCCACAAAGCCCTCTCTCTCAGCGACTCCAAACAGTTGCTACCACTGCTTGGGAAAAGTCTATCGCCCCCTGATATGGGTCAAGTCATTGGGTAACCCCAAGAAATAGATGCCCAACATACTGAAAGTACACTAAAATCTGTGGTCCCCTCAGTCTTATATATATATATATATTATAATTTATATTTTATTATATATATATATATATCTCATTAAATAAACATGTATATATATATATCATTAAATATACATATATATATATTATTATTATATATATATATTATTATAATATATATATATATAAACATTATATATATATATATTTGACACATACCCATATGGCTATAACTATTGTAATAAGCACCCACAAGTATACATATTCACTACATTGATGACAGATCTACCTTTCTAAATTTCCATTATATCCCCATTCTCTCCCATCTCACTATATGACTATATTTCCATTGTATCCATTATGCATTATATCCTTTTCATTCCGTTGTCCACTATTTCCAGTATACCCCATATCCTATCACTGGTTGGTGGTTTCAACCCCTCTGAAAAATATGAAAGTCAGTTGGGTTTACTATTCCCAATATATGGAAAAATGAAAAAATAATGTTCCAAACCACCAGATTTTCGCCAGATTTTCGGTTCGGATGTCTGCTCAGTTGGCAGGAGCGAGACACACCATACTGTGATGGCAAGCAAGGTACCTTTGTACCGGTTACAGCCGCATGTTGCCTGTCCCAGAAGCAAGAGGCAAACTAACCAAGGCGTCCGCGCTGCGCACACACGGTGCTGAAAGATGTTGCTCCAGCCACCGTTCAACTTCAGCAAGGGCTCGCCTATCCCAAGGTATCGATGCAGCAGGGAGGAATGTCTGAAGGATCTCCGACCTTGGTCGACACTGCTCCATCGCCACAGAAATCTTGGCAGCTTTCCAAAAATGCTTCACAAACAACCGAAACCATCGCACCCTTTGTCGAAATGAAAACTGCTCTGCTGCAAGGTAAGGACGGTGCGTCACGTCCACCCATTGTTTCTGTACTTTGAGAGGTCCAGGATGATTCCATGTCAATTGAAAATCCAAGTAAAGTTGCGTAAACGATACCCAGATCATCGATTCAGCATGGTCAGTGGCCAATCGAGCATGAAACCAGCGACACAGTTTTTGCATCATCTCATCCCCATAGGTTCTTCCAATGGTAGGCAGAAGTTGTCCCTGCCAGTTGCCCAAATCAAAATGTTGCACAAACTCCCTGGTGGGCTTCACGACCACAGGAGCAGGTTCACCGGAAACATTGACACTGCTCTGCACAAAACGCTTTCCCACCGCCAGGTGAAGGTGATGGACCTGTAGGAACAAGTTCTCAGCAGTGATTGTAGCCTGCACATGTTGTTCCCAAAACGCCCAGAAACCAGCGGGACGAGCCTGATTGGCCAGTCGTGCTGCTCTGTCCGCATAATCGTTATGGAAAAACAGCCATGCCTCATGCTTGGTGCGCGCACTTTGCAGAGTGCGATGGGCTGGCACCTTGTGCAAACTCACAAACTCACTGCCCAGTCTGTCAACCGACTGTAAAACCCAGGCCCAAAGATCTGCATTGCTGCGGTTCACCTTCAACTTGACTCGGCCACGCACAAGGTGGTAAAACCTTGTAATAACACCCAAACAGTCTGTCCAAATTCGAACTGGCGTCCTTGAGGTCGCTGCACAATGTAACGTGTAAGCAACAGCATACAGTTCAGCCCTGAACGCAGTTTGGCACAGACCCGGCAAGAAGGCAGCACCCAGCACAGCAAGTCCACCCGGAGTCCAATCAGCAGAGGAAGGAGGAACAACAGTGGCAGACCACGCAGCACATCGATAGAGCGGTTGGGATTGACAAAGACAGGAGCCATCGGTGAACACGTCAGTCCAACAGTCAGGACGCAGGGAAACAGAAGGTGGCGGAGGAACATCGGGCAAGTCCATCAAAAGGCGCATCCAATCATTCCAAGTAGGAGGCAAGAGAGCCCAGCCACGCAAGGAAAGCGCCGACGGCAGAAAGTCCAACAGGTCAGAAACATCAGGGGCAAGGGCAATCCGTAAGTCATGGTGTTGAGGACACTCCCAATACCTGTGACGCAAGTGGTCAGGCTGCCCACACCAACGGCAAGCATCAGTCTGATCAGTCCATTTCGACTTGTAGCTTTCAGTAAAAAGGCCACCTGCAAGGCTAAGACGAATCAAAGCTTGGTCATCGACCGGCAAGGCTAGGAGGGCACGTCGAGTAGTTGCAACATCAACTTGCCAAAGCCCATGAAAGTCCCCACGGTGGGCAACACGCTGAGCCACAACCTGGTGCCACGCCCAAGTAAGCCGAAGTTCAACAGCTGCACTATTGCAAGTATGCGGGCAAAATGCCCCAAATTGATCGACCAGAAGGCCAAACCTGGTGACACCCAACCCCAAAGCTTGAACACGTTGCAAGACAACTGAAGCAGGAGCGTTGGGTGGCAAGTCCATGTCCCCAAAAGCCAAAGGAGCAACACTAGAAGTCCAGAAATCAAGGTTAAACTGAGAGCGTGCAGCACGCAAAGTCCAAAGGATGGCCACAAACTGGGGGTCAACAGCACACTCAACCAACCCAAGAAACACGGAGGGATTCACACCAGGTCTCTGCCAGCACAGCGCTTTGACAGCTTTGCGACGTAAGTCCAACCAAATCTGGTCACCAACAGGAGCACTCGACACAGCATGCAAGCCGCGAGGCCAAGCAACAGCACGGAGCATGAAGACTTTAGCATGATGTCGCGCCTTGCTGGAAGTCAACTTGACCCAAAATTCATCCAAGTCAGCAAGGCGTTGGGTGATGGTCTTATTGGTGTACTGGCGGGAAATGCCAAGGTGGCCCCCAAGCTCACGAGCATGGTGCAAAACAGTGATGCCCCCAGAGCGCAGGAGTTTCCGCAAGTTGGGGCAGGTAGCCCAGCCAAAGGTTTTCTTGCGGTCAACCGTAAGATCCACCATTCCTGCAAAGCGTTCAATCATCTCAAGCTGCCGGACAGCAATGGTAGGATCACCAGTGAAAGTCTGCCAATCATCAACGTACGTCAGGCAATTGATGGAAGGGGTTTGGAATTTCATCCAACAGGCAAAGAGATGATCCACAAGAAGCATGCCAAAAACCGACAGACCACAACCCTCAGCCAAACCAGTCGAAGTCAAGAACCCTGTCGAAAAGGAGTCACGCACCTTGAAGTGGCGGCGCATGCTAGCCAAGGCTCCACTCCATGCCGTGGTAACTGCATCAGGAGTCCCAACCAAAACAGCAAGGCACAGGGCTGGAAACCGGGGAATGCAATTGAAGCACTTCTCAAGGTCAGCCGAAATACCCGCAACTGCAGTGCCTGAGGCATAGGCCGATTCGATTTGGAGGAGCAAGAAACTCCATAGATCGGCAGCTTGACGCCCTTGGCGATTGCCGAAAACACTGTCATCAACCCAGGAGTCAGCATGTTGGAGCAAGTATCTTGATTGGGCACTGCTCCATGCACGATAGGGCAATCCAAAGATAGTGATTGGCCTGTAATCGCCAACTGCCGAAGCAGAGTCAGTTTTGGCAAGGGAGTGCACTTTGCCAGCCACCAGCTGGGCAGGCCAGGTTCCATCAAGCTCGGCCCGGCGGTAAAGCTGGGTGATGCTTTCCAGGACTGCAGGATCTGCTTCGACCAAGTCCTGTCTACTTACTCCATCAAGTCCAGTAGCTGCTCGCTTCTTCTTCCGGCTGATTTCTGCTTGGAGAAGAGTGCTATCAATTTGCAAATGAGGCAAGGGACAAGGTCGGATGACCCGTTTGGCAAAGTCCAGCAACTCTGTCCAGTGTGTAAAGGGAACATGGTCATGGCGGCACCATCTCTGCTTCCATTGATCGTGGAAGGCATCAAAAAGAGCACGCAAATCACCAACCAAGTGTGTTTGAACACATTGGGACTGGGGTTCAATGCCGGCAGTGTCCTCAAGCCAAATCTTGTCATGGTCAGCATGAACAACATCATAAACTTTGCCAGCAATCCACAACGGTTGGTCAGCCAGGAGCTGAACCGGCTTATCAAGCTCAATGGCACACTCATCCACATCCACAACGGCAACGGAAGCACGGACCCGATGCAACAAGGATTCAACCGGCTCCGCTGGGGTCCGGGCCACATCACGGAACACCAAGTGTCGGTCACAGTCATGCTGGAACTTACGATGAGCACTGCGCGCAGACTGCAATCGTTGCTCCAAAAGACGGACTTCAGCCAAAACAGCATCGTAGATTTGGTGTGCAACCGCAGACGGAGGACAGAACACAGGCATGCAATGTGGGTCAAGGGGACTGACAAAACAGCGTGACAACCACCACTCAGCAAAGGAAGATCCAAAACCAGACGCACGCAAAATGGAATTCCAAAGCCCAATGCCATGCTCATTGTCCCCTCGTCCAAAACACTGACGCTGATCAACCCACCGACAATAGTTTTGAAGGCGACGCAGCTGCTTGAATTGTTTCACATGGACCGCAGAGAAACCAAAGAAACCAGGTTTCACATCATGCTCACGGCCTTGCTTAAGAGGAGCAATACGACCGACAATTCTCTTGGGGGCGGTCTGTGCAGCACGGCCAGACATGCAAGGCAGCCAGTCACGGCCAAGGCTTTGCTGCGCAAGTTGCTCTTTGGTTTTCCAAAGCTCGGCATATTGAGTGGTAGGGTCAAGAGGGAACGCAAAATCCACAGCAGTGCCCAAGGGCGACACTTGAGTCCAAGGGACCGGCTTAGGGCAAGGCCAAGAGAACCGTTCGAGATGGGCAGCTCCACCAGCAAAACGGGCAATCAACACAGCATGGTCCGCAAAGACTTGGTGATCAATGGTCAAATCCAAGAAACTCAAGGCAAGCTCAGGGGAGAGCCAAAGGTGATCCTTCCGGGTGACCCCTTTGCAAGTAGCTTCAACAGACTTACCAGTGCGGGAACAGAACAGGTCTTGCACTTCATGCCAACCAGCCGCAGTGAGTTGCGCAGTGATCTGAAGGTTCTCAGGGGCGAAATTCCAATCGCCAGCAAAGAAACGGGGCCCAGGCTGTGCAAGCAATCGCTGAAAGGCAAAATCCAAAATGGCTTCAGTCCTTGCAAGGGCTTGAGGGTGGGATCGCCCTTCAGGATACCCGTACACCACAGCACCAGAAATCCAAGAGGACGGGGTGAAGAAAGCACCAATCTGAACACGTCCCGTCTCATACAAGTCCACAGGCCACTGTGTAGCAAGGCTTCGGCAAGGATAGGCCGAGGTGAAAGCAACCCCTGCCCATTGGCCGGCATCGGATGCAGTGGAACGAGGAGTCATGGGGGCTCCTGACAAAACGTGCTTAAACTTCGAATTGCATGAACGGAATGACAAAGCAAGGTTGCGACGAGCCATCTTTGTCAAATGGGTCTCGCTGATGGCCACAACATCGGCTGGGATTCCACTAAGAACATGGTGTTTACCCTGCAATCCAGAGGGATTACAAACCCCAATCGACCATGTTTCAGTGTCGGGTCCTGGCACCCGAGCTTCACCAATGCGGCACATCGTCAAAATCAAAAGGCAAGTCAAAAAGGCCCGGAAGGGACGGCAAAATCCCTGGGTCACCCTGGCAAAATTGGGCCAAGCTACAGGGCTCCCGAGTTTTCACTCAGTGCGGGGCTTCTTGGCTAAGATCGTTTCAATCCGCGCCATTTGGTCTGTCAACATCGACTGCATCTGCTGAGTCTGCAAATCGATCTGAACCTTCATCTGTTGTTGGAGAGATTGTACCTGCGCCGTGTTCTGCTGGTGATGATCATTAACAGTGCTCTCAAGGTGCGTTTGGCGATGAGCCAATTGCTGAACCTGAGACTCCAGCAGCTGCAAGCGATGATCCTGGTCATCAACTTCCATCTTGTCGGCGGTGGGCAACTTTGCCAACAAACTCTGTTCCAAGCGGCTTTCAATCTCCTGAAGGACATGGGGAGCAGGCTGTCCTACCGGAGGCGCTGGTGCTTGGGCAATTGCTTTGGACCAGGGATCCTGAGTGAGCCAAGGGTCAGGGCCAGAGTCGGTAGCGCGGCAAAGTTCCAAAGTTTTGGCTTGGCCAACAATCTGGGCATCTGGTTCAACCTGCGCTGGCTTGACGTCCTGGCTCGTGATCAGGACTTGGCCGTGTTGCATGGCAAGCACTTGCATGGGGGGTTCCATCACAGATTGGATGGTCCACATCAATCCACCAGGCACATGCTGTGTGGGCTGCAATGGCCGGCATTCCCATCCACTGGCTTTCAGGATTCTGGCTATGCCTTTGCGATCACTACCAAAAGGCCAAGGGCCGCACTGAAAAGTGAGGCGGCTGCCAGGGGCAAGGTACACTGCTTCAGGCTTCGCACTGGTGAAAACCCTTTGAAAGTTTTTCACATGGACCCTGATACCATATCGGTTGCCAGCACGAGCAATGCCAAGGCTATCAACTTCACATTTGGCTTTGTGAGTGATAGTGCTGAAGTCCATCTGGGGCAGCCACACAACTTGAAAGTCACTGTGGGGTTTCAGGGCATCCTCGGTCTTGGGCTCAATGTAAACCCCATGGAGGCCACTGGAGCAAAGCACCTGAGTTTCCAAGGCTTTCACGTATCTGAACAACACTGCAAAATGGGAAGCTTTGTCCCATTTGACCGGTCTGTTGGCATCATTGAAAAACTGCCTACGGAACACATCAAGGACTGCATCATGTGTTTGGTCTTGCTGGGGGTGCCAACCTGGACATTGGCAATCACTTCCATTACGGCAGGTGTGCAAACTTGGCAACATCGACAAAACATGTTTCACTGGCCGGGTAGCAAAGTCCTCCCAGCAACCATCCCACTGATCTTGGTCCACAGTCACTCTGGCACATGCAACATCGACGGCAGGGATGCTGGGGATATCTTTGGCTTGGTACTGGAAGACAGGGCAACGACCAAGTTGGACAAGGTGACCGGACACCAGCATAGGCTCCTGATTCATACTGCAACGCGCTGCAAAACGGATGGTGGCCCAGGACAATTGGGTCTGGAAATCCACAGGGGCATTCAGCACCAACAGGGCAAGTCCATGATTCGTCAACAACTGACCTGATTGCAGAAAAGGGACAGCTTCAGCAAAGGACACCAAGGCAACCCCACTGGCAAGCGGACCAATGGCAGAAAATTGAATCTGGCCCACTGGTTCGTCATTACCGGCACGAAAAGTACCATGCTCCAACACAAGCTTGGTCGGGTCAAGGTCTGCTGGCTTGACTGGGGCAGTCTTCGGAGCAGCAGGACCCTTTTTGGGTTTGCTAGCTGGCTTGGCGGCATTCATCTGAGCTTGCTCATCGGGCAACACCATCTGCAAAGGTGGGGATTGCATGTTAGCCAAGGCCTTCAATGACTTCCAAGGAGAAACTCCCATCAAGGCCTTGTGCACTTCACTTTTGCCAAGGGTCTGGACAACAAGTTTGGCACGGAGACTGGCTTGTGCAACTGGGACACCATGCTTGGCAAGCAATTCCGCTGCAAGGCCAAAAACATCTGGCACACCCAAACCCCAGCACCAAGGCTTAGGCAGTGCAGCAACGCTACGACATGCTTCAGCAAAACTACCTTTCAGGTCATTGTGCAAGGCATCAAGCGCAGCTTCAGAGGTCGGCAAGCTGTGACCAAGAAGTCGGTGAGACACAAAGGCAACTGCAGCAGCACCACATCGCCCAGGGGAAAAGGACCGACGACTGCAGGCAACAGTAAACATAGGTTTACCCCAAGCAGCACTGATCAAGCCATGGAGCGGGTTCAAACAGTCCACGTCAACATCAGCATGTTCCCACATCAACACCTGAACTTCAGCAAGAGACGAGGACCAAACAATCGGTATCCAATGGCCACGGACATGCACCGCAGTCACAATGCATGCAAGATCAGGAAAGTCTTGCATCCAAACCTTGACTTCAGAGACGTCACCACCTTGCAACCAACCAGTCGCAAGCAACGGGTCCAGAAGCTGCACATCCGTACGGCAACACAACTTCAGGCAAGCACGCAAGTGAAGACACAGCTCGTCATCTCCCATGGCAGGACCTTCATTTGACAAGACAGCAAGCCGGGAAGTGACAGGCACAGTGGCTTGGCGGTACATGCTACAAGTCTCAAGCCGAGTGACCAACGGCGGGATCAAATTGGCAAGTTGGACTCCAGTCAAGTGTCTGAGGCCGAGCAACGTGTCCATGACATGAGCATGTGGATGGCCAACATCAACAGCACAGGGACCACCAGCAGAGGGAGGACCTGAATCCACAGGGACCACAAAAGGCCTGGCACTATCCTCAGGGCTGACACCAGTCGTGTCCATGGGATGGGAACCAAGTCCAGTGTTGTCATCAAACTCACCAAAGTCCAAAGGGATGGGGACGGTGGGGACAGCAGTAGGGACCATGTCAGTGGACGAGCGCGCAACAGCATGTCGAGAACCCTGCACCAAAATACTCAACCCTGCAACTTTGGCATAGTAGTCCAAGGGAAGTCCAGTCTTTGCATCTATCCATTGATCAGCAGTGGCATCTTGGGACAGGGCAAGTTCAGCCTGGAAGAGCTCAATGACGGTGGTCTGCGATTGAACCTGAACCCTCACAGTGGTGCCATCGGGGTAAGTGAGCAAAGTCCAATCTGGGCACGCAGGGGCAGGAGCTATGCTAGGGAACATGTCTTTGGCACACTTCAGGAGAGAACCTTTGAATTCATTCAAGACTCCAACCGGGTTCATTGGGGGCATGTCAAACAAAGCTCGAAGCTGTTGCATGATACATGATCCTACCCACACTGATTGCATTGGAGATGCTAACTGGCCGATTGCACTGAGACAGAGGCGCAATGGGGTTCCATGCAATTCCAACCATGCTTGTGGAGGTGGCATACCATTGAGCAGTGCCAGCTCACAGGGGTGAAAATGTCGGAACACAGGAACTCCATCCGTCACAGGAATTTGCAAAAGCTGGGCATAAATGCCTCGCTGTCGGATGAGGTGCTCACTGAAAGCTAATCGGCAACCACAGGGGCAGTCGAATGCTTGGCTTCCACTGGAGTGGAGACTGGTCGGTAGTTTTCCATCCATCTGTACAAGGTACTTGCGCAAAGACGAGCCATCTAAGGTGAACTGGGTGCACTCATGTTGGGTCAACTGCAACTCAGCAAGCACTTCAGGGGACCAAACTTTGACAAATGGCATGACATCTCGAATGGTACGACTCGGATTCTTGGGCCACTCATACAAGTTGATGGCTCCCAAAGCAGGATGCACAGCAACCAACCACCAACGAAACCGACGAGCACACCAGTTATCCTCCAATTTCAGTGACACCTCACTCAAACGATACCCAAGCTTTGACTCCAGCTGGTGCAAACAAGACCGGACAAACTGGTTAGTGCGGGCTTGAGTCACGTTTTCAATCAGCAGCACAGGACACTGAAACAAGTGACAGGCTTTCATCGTGGCAGGGACAGTGGCAGAACGATCATCTTCTGAACCAGCCTGGGCACCACCAGTTGAGAAGGGTTGGCACGAAAATCCAGCCATCAAGGTAAACGGAGGCTCAACTGCCTGGGCAACAGCTTTGAGACAGCTGGAGTCAGCGATGTCCCCTTGGATGACAGGAATGCCAGGATGGCACAGACGGTGAAGTCCAACCAAAGCAGGGCGCAACTCGACAGAGCAAGCATGTTGAAACCCAGCAGCAGCAAGTCCAACTGAGGAGCAAGCAATCCCAGAGCAAAGTTCAACACACCGAAACAAATCAGTCGATGGGCGAAGTCCATGGGCAAGCACAACAGTTTCATCTGTGATCAGCAACTCAATCCTGTCACCTACCTTGTCGAACAGCACGTCAAAGGCAGTGAGGCGATGACAACCCTGAACCCCATTGTCAATTGCCCCAATCAGTTTGATCTGCCGGCCATCAGGCACAGAAACAGCATAGATGGATTCCTGAGTATGAAAAATCCCGTCCAGAACCAGTGAAATCTTGCAACCTCTGGTCAATGTGTCCCAAGAAGGTGAAAACAAATCAGTGGTACCAGGTGCATCCCAGGCCATTGCAAAGTAAACCAAAGCTCCCAAGTTTAGCCCGCACGGGTCCACCCCTGTTCCAAACCACCAACCAGATCATAAATGTCCTATATCCCATTCATTATGGAAAGTAATGATTATATTTTATACCCCATATTGTCATTACTTATATATATATATATATTATATATATTATATATATTATATATTATATATATATTATATATTATATATATATATATATTAATATTGTAATAAATGACTATATTATAACCCAGGTAGTATTATAACCCAGGTTATAATATTTCCATTATAGTCCATATCCTACAATGTGAGGCCCCCCAGTTATAAGTTGGTTTAGATTCGCCCCAGTAACTATAGTTATAAGTACCATAAACCATAGTTATTGGAGTTATGTTCACCAACTTAGCTATCTTGGAGGCCTCACATTGTATCATAAATGTCCCATTCATTATACCCAGATCATGTCCCTGAATGATTCACACCCTGCCGAGATACGGCCAGCGCGGCACCGGCGCGACATCGCGAGGCACACGAGGCACGCGACGCCGTGGCGGCCGTCACGGCCATGGCGGCCATGGGCGAAGCCTCAGGTTGACACATCTTGATGGGGAAAAAACGGTATTTACTAGTGACTTAATGGGATTTTACGGGATTTTACAGTGGCTTAATGGGATTTATCCTCTGGTAAACATACAAAAAGCTATTGGATTTACCCATGAAATAGAGATTTTCCATAGTTTTGTAAACACTTACCAGAGGGTAACCATCACTGAACTGGATTATCATGAGATTTTACCATCCAGTTATGGGATTTATATAGGGTTTTATTGATTTTACGATCATATGATGGGATTTGATAGGATTTTAACATCACTTAATGGGATTTATATAATGAGATACCATCACTTAATGGAGATTTAACGATCTAATTCTCATATAATGGGATTTGATGGGGACACAATGGGTTCTACCCTCCAGTATTCAAACATGGCAATGGACCCCTGGAAATGGAGGTATGAATGGGAAAATCATCCATAAATAACGGATTGTCCAAGCCATGTTTGATTCCCAGAGGATAAATCATGTAGGAAGGGCCCCGTGGAGGGATAGGTGTCAGTTGGTGTAAAATTAGCGGCTTCACTAGGATCTATAGGATCTATGCTGGATATAGGTGTAGATGAACTGATGCTCCATGAAATTTCATTATATAAATTATACCCACAACAACTGTTTGCACATTTTTGGGGTCAATGTTTGCACCTATTCCATGTTGGACGTAGCAAAGACTGAACATGTATCCTTAAAACTATCCGATGGTATAGGCAGGTTCGCGTTTTTAATTCAAGGAATGAAGGAAGCTCCTTTTCAAAACTCTCCATCAACGTCGAGCTCCATGTAAAATATGTAAAATACCCCAAGCTGATCAGATTTGAATCTCTATAATGTGGGTAAAGCAATCATCAACCACCCTTTTGGGAATGGTTTAAACTACCTATTTATGGTGATTTGGGGGATGGTTTATGACATATTTTATCCACATTAGTTCCTATTAATTTTATGTAATCCCCAAGTTGAACATGTCAAATTTCACTGGTCCCATGGAGCGCCAAGTTTCCCTTAGACATAGGTAGGATGAGTTGCAAATAGACTATCTGCTAAAACCTCGGCTTTTTGGATGTCACAGGAATCAGGTTCATACCCTCTGGTAAACATACAAAAATCTATTGAAAATGGTGATTTATAGTAGATTTACCCATTAAAAATTGCGATTTTCCATAGTTATGTTAGTTTACCAGAGGGTAAACGTCCAAAATTCTTCCTGTGTCAATACTCAAGATAAATTGCTGCAACTGCAAGCGGTCTCTTTTGGTAGAAATCCGTATCTGGACCCCATCCCATCCCAATGCTTTCCCAGATTTGTTTATGTTAACATCCCAATTTTTTGGTTATATCCAGCTTCTTCTTGGATCAATTGCCACTGTTGGCTAAATACCCAAGTTCTAGAAAATACACTGCAAAACGAAAAAAAGTTAATATGTATGACTCATTTACTGCCATTTGTAGCCAAAACAAAATAATAACATCGAGTACTAAAATCTTATAGCCATCCAAGATTGACAAAGTAAATTGCGGGTTCCAAAATTGGGCTACCCCAAAAATGGATGGTTTATAATGGAAATTCCGAAAATAAAATGGATGATTACTGAGGTAGCCCCATTGGGAAAGCTCCATGGCTACCTCCATGCCCAGCCTGGGCCGCCCTTTTCTTCGGCTCCACAGGACCACTTAAGACAACAAAGCGCTGCGGAGGAGATTGCAGCAAATTCGAGGAATTTGGAGACTATCTGAAATTCTTACTGGTGAAAAAAAAGATAAACGCAGGGAATTTTCGGGAATGATCCAATCCATCACTAATAGTTTCATCATCCCAGCAACCCCCAGCAACCCATCCAGCAACCCTACGTAAAACGCCCCAGTAAGGATTTGGTTGATGTATCCCTGGTCGGTGGTCACTGCAACAAATGGGTCCTGAGATTTAGGGCTACGCGGCTACCCCCGGTTTTCAGACAGACCAATGGTAGATCAAACGGTGAGCAAAATGAGTTTTGGTCCCCTGGTAGCCATGCCAAAGGTGAATAAGCCCTTCCCCCGTTCAGCCCCTACAACTCCCCAGAAACCGTGGTGGATGTAAGGGAAAAGTACCATATAAATGGAGGTGTTAGATCTATGAACGTTGGATCGGATTCGAGTCCCTCGGGACTCGAGACCTCAATCAAGCTTGGGGTGTAATGCTATTGACCATTGACCCATGCCCGAATCTCAGTATGGACACATCAGCCGATACAAGATGACAATTGGAAGGGGCAATTCACCCACTAGTACTCTTGAGTGCAAAGAAGGCAGATAAATCAATACCAAAAATGTAAAGGTTCGTGTGCGCAAAGAGGATCAAATGCAAAAATGGGAATTGACAGTCAGTTGAGTGAACAACAGTGAATGTCGCAGTTTGAAAACCCCAAGAATTAGAGCAGCAGCAGAAGATGATTCACCAGTTGAAGTTCCAATTCAATGGGCGAAGGTCAGCTATGACCCGTGGGTTTACAGCAATACCCACTAAGGTGAGGCGAAACACAAAACTGCAGGACACCTTGTGCACACTTCACCCAACCTTTTGCACATCAAATGACCCGAGTTGGCTAAAAAGGCTGTACTTCTCTTCCTCATCCAAGTCAGCGCCCATCGCGATGGACTTCACCTGCTTGGCAAACACTGCGCCTATCTCGTCGTCTGTTATTTTTTCTGTGACGACGATGCCTCTGTGAGAGGCCGTCGCCACAGCGATGCGATTGATGAGGCTGTCGGTCAAAGCGCTAGGTAGGCCTTTGCGCTTTGAAAAAGGCAAGAGCTGATTCGAAGACGCGTTGATGCGTTTTTTTCGCCTTTAGCTCTGCCGGGACTTCGCTGTTCGTCCAGTGCGGACTTCGGACAGCGCTGCGCTGACAGCCGCTACGATCTTCGCACTTTCATATGCCTCGGTTGTCGCCATCGCTCCAATCAGGGCGGATCCAGTGCGATGACCGTTGGGTGAAGAAGGTGTGCCACAGAATTTTTAAACCCCTCTGAACAATATTAGTCAGCTGAACAGTTGGAATTATGATTCCCAATATATGGAAAAAATGTTCCAAACCACCAACCAGATGGGCATTTTTGAAACCATGGCCTGAAAACACCAGAGGTCACGTCGCTATTCCCTGCCCGCTGCGCCAACTGCTGGTGTTTTTTCTCAACAGAGTTTCGCCAGCGCATCTTCCTGGATGGCCGTGCACAAGGGAAACGTGGAACATGACGGGTGTACAGACCCGAAAACGAGAAAATTTGATGATCCATACCCTCTGGTAAACTAACATAACTATTGAAAATTACAACTTTTCAGAGGTAAATCAACTATAACTGGGCCATTTTCCATAGCTATGTTAAATTACCAGATGGTACCTAACATGAGAAAGAAAACACAAACTTTCCAGGTTTGTCATGACTTCCGACCCATACCGAAATGGCAGTCAACTCCTAAACGGCAGTCTACTTTCTTGGCTGAAACACCCACAATTTGACAATGAAGATATGCACATATAATCATCCTGAAGTATAGATAGAAACGTGAAATTTTCACACATATTTGTTCAAGTGAGGATTTCATTCTTTTCCCATACGCCCCCAGGCCACCCCGCCACTGTGCCGCTTGCGGAGAGCGCAGCAGCGGCAGCTTCCAAAGGGAAACCCATCTCCTTGGTGCGCGCCAGGGACGTCTGCGATGATCGTAACAACTTGTCAACCACAGGTGTATCCCAATAACTTCAATAACTATAGGGTGGTGCCCCATAGTTAGCTAAGTTGGTTTATAAGTCCAATAATTATGGTTTATAGGTGATATATATATAGTTGATCAGATTACAACCCATTTATAACTGGGGGGGCACCACCGTGTATGGTTTATGACAGATTAAAGTATAGTAGATATGCAAAAAGTTAGATATAACTGTTATAAGGCTAGTTGGATAAATATGGTTTAAAACTTCAAACAATGGATTTTGGTAAATATATCTATAGATTCTAAAGATGAATAAGGTTGGTGAAAACAATGGTGCAAGATGAGGTCATTGTTTTCGAGAACAAAAATGACGCACGGAACTTGGGTAACCCCTGGGTTATTGGGGATATATACAACTTAACTATAGCCAGTAGGGGATTAAACCGACTTAAAAGGGGGCTCACCTTGTAGAAAGTATGGTGCAACCAAAGTGGTGAATGATGGCAATTTTCATTCTGAACTCTGATGATGAGATAGTTGGGATAAACAAATCCAAATTGGGATTTTTGCATTTAAGCAACTGTATGTATGTCTAGGGTAAACATACCAAAAACTTTGGAACATCACCATTTTTTGTTGCTGGGTAAATCCATGAACTTTCGATGGCCATTTTCCATGTCGTTTTTTGTATGTTTACCAGAGGGTATGTCTAGGTGATTTGTTGGGCACTCGACCATCCAAAATTTTACCATTTTTATTGCCTGCAAATGGCGGTGATGGGACGGGTTTAAACAAAAAAACTATTTCTGGTTGGTGGTCACCTACCCCTCTGGGACAGTATGAAATTCCCAACTGATTGGAAAATTAAAATTCATGTTCCAAACCACCAACCAGATTTCTTTAGTGTAGCTAGGTGGGAAATATTTCATTTCATGAATTTTATAAACGCTTGTGAAATCTACATTCATGCCAGGCGTTGGAGGTCCTTTCCCCAGAGCATCTCGTGGATAAACTCCGAAACATACCCAGGTTTACGCTGCTGAAAATGTTCCCCTACGGTGGATGAAGTTTGCCAGAGGGGAAAATTCATGAAATGAGTCCCGTCCATTCATGTAAGAGAAAACAAACCCAATTTCAAGAAACATCCAAGTAGGGTCCATGTTCAAGCTGAATATCAGACATGCAATTTTCCAGTTTCTGTTCATCCTGGGTTTCAAGGATACATCTAAACCAAACCATCCTCATGGTAGTTGCTGAAACCTCAATCTTACATCAGAATCATTGCTGACTCCGTCATACAGGCTGGACCCATCCATGAAGAAAACGTCGTTTCGATTCGTTCAATACTTCCCCAGGTACCCATCTTAGGAGATGAATCTCCCAATTGTGTTGCTCATTTTTTCTTTGTTCTGCTACCCATTTTGGTGGCTTGAATAATCACATCCTTCTATCAATATGAGTTTTGGAACTGTCTAACAGAGCTACAGCGCATACCCATTGTCACTTGAGGAGGGTCCATGAAAGAATTCCTGAAATCAGACTTGGGGTGTTGGGACTTCGTATCCCCTTTGGTAATTTAACATAGCTATTGAAAATTGCAATCAAAATAGTTGATTTATCCATTAAAAAATTGTGATTTTCCATTGTTTTTTGAATGTTTACCAGAGGCTAGTTCACTCAGCTGAATAGTTCGGTCATTTGGGGATAGTTACTATAGTTATCCCGGTCCCAACCATTCTTCCAGTGAGGGAACAATGAGGTAGCAAAAGAATTTGCCTAGATGTTATCTCTAAAAAAACCCACGAAATATCCAATGGTAGTATCCCATGAAATATCCGATAAATTATCTAAGATGGCCGTGTATTCCAGCATAGATACATGGATTATGTCCAAGACAGTTGCATAAATAGATACATGTATCATGTTACATACATGATATTATGAATGGATGTATTATCATAATATCAGCAACAAACCACTCTTAGAATTGATACTTACATCCATTCTGTCCCATGTATTATTGCTATTATTTCACAGAAAGTATATTGCATATTACACTATGACCATATTTCCGATTTTATCTATTAATATGTTCCATTATATTTCATGTTATCTCCAATGATATCGCATGTATATGGATAAATCAATTGTAGATTAATTAATTTCATTAATTATTGGATGTATCCTATTGTTTGATATTTCACATTCCATGGTATAGATTAAAGCCACTAATGACCCATGAAAATATCCAACAATACATAGTTGGTTTTGAGCTATAATGGCAACCCTGGATTAATAATCCCTTACGCTGTTTGATTGGGTAGGTACCATTTGAGTATTAGATTACCACTATTTGGGGAGTACCCCCCTAAATAATTAATAAACCATGCTTGACATTACAATGTATCTGGGTAAGTTATAATAATTCACTAACCTGAAACAAGGCTATCTTGGGTATTATGATTCCCCTTACTAACTATGATGATAGTGATGGAGAACAGTGAGGTCGTTATGATTTACCCAGATGTATAATATGGTTGACTGTTGATTATTGTTGGCTATATATTGTTCCATTATACTACCATTATCCCATAGTATGGTTGGTTTACACTTTCTGGGAAGGTACTTAACCCCCCAAATCATAGCCCAAATACTTCCTGTGGGGCCCCCTAGATAGCTAAGTTGGTTTATAAGTCCTATGGTCCTAGGCTTTGTGGAGGATATATCGAATTAGATAATGGGGATTATAAACCAACTTATAACTGGGGGGTACCGCCTTGTGAGAAGGTACTTGGATTTCCCCGATTCCATTCATCCAAATTCAGTACCCCCAATGAAGAGATCCAAGCGGCCAGCAACTGAGCCAACATGTGGTCCACCTGCGCTGCAAATGGGGTACTTTAAGCAACAAAAAATGGGTTTCAACATATCTGATTCTTCTATACATTAATATACTCTCTATATATATATATATATGTATATATAAATAAATACATACACATGTAAGGTATACATATAAATATTCATATAGGTACACACACACACATACACAGTACATTTCATATACATAGTCTATATATATATATATAATCATATATTGCACACACACACATTTTTTTTTTTTTGGCCGCTGAACGTCGTCGCTCGTGCCATGGCATGCTAGTCATGTGAATTCAGCTGCCAGGCTACCTCGGTTGGTAGTCAGGCATGCGCTGGCCGCACTCTGTGCTGGCAGCAGCAGATGTCTCTGCCAAAAATTTGCCAAAGGTGTCGACAAGCTGGGTTGGAGTGGATGTTGCAATCCTCCATTGGCTCAGCTTGGCCTTAATGGCTACCGCGAAGGCTTGGTTAAGCTTCGCCGGATATTCCTTTGCACAGGCCGTTCTGTACTCACCATTCTCTTTTCCGAGAAGGTGCTTCGTTGGCCGAATAGGGTTGGGTTCTTCACAGAGGGCAAGTGCTTCTCCTAACCTTGCATTACTGTACATTAGCGTTGTCGGTTTGACTCCAGGGGAGCCAAACCGGAATTGCTGAATTGTCAGTTTGGAAAAAAGGCGCTTCGGTGGCCTTTGGAGCATCTTTAGCAACCCAAGTCGCCAAATGGAGGCCATCTCGCCATCGTAGGGCGGGGCCGGATGTTCTACAAAGGCCGGGGTGCCTCTCAGAGCCGCAGCGCATGCAAGGTGTATCCCCTTAAGGAGGAGGATGTTGCCAGTGCGAAGCTGATGTAGCTCAGCCCACGTGAGCTTTTCAAGGCCCCATAGATGTTCTCCATGACGTAGTGGTCTGGGTCCATGGATTATTGCATCATCGGGTCCAAGTAGAGGATGGTGTCTCGCCGCACTCCATGTTTCACATGGTGGCCCAAGCAAGATACCAAGGCATCTGCCATTTTGAATCACGTCCATGAGGAAACGCCAAAGAGAACTGCAGTGAATGTTCATAGCAGGATCTACAGCTGTATCGATCGACAGGACGTAGATATTGTGATGCCCTCCTTCGCAGATATACTTCTCCATCCATTCTTGAAAATCTCCTTCCCTTCTTCGCCCGGAATAGAGATGAATGATGAAATATGGCCCTTCGGAGCTCGGTGCATGATGGACTTTGTTGCCATACATAGCCCATGCATTCCGCCTTTTTTCTGCTTCCGGAAGGTCTGCATATCCTCGAGGAATAGGATGTGTTCGGCAGTACGGGCGGGATTGTGCTGGTGCTTGGCGTGGTGGAATGTCAGG